TTTGTCTTCTTCTTCTTCTTCTTTAAGTTCCATCTTCTATCGAAGGTTAAAATCATCATGGCTATGGCCATGGCAGTCCAGTTCCATAAATATCTATTTTCCAGAATAATCGAAATTGCCGAATAAAAATAATCCAGATAAAAAAGTAAACTGGTTTAATGACACTTTGAGAAAATGCGTGAGAGACTTCAATCTATTATAGCAATAAATAGAAACTATCCCATCGCTGCACCCAGAAGTACCATTATCAAACTCAGAAAGGAGTACAGGAAAGGCACCAAGGTTGCAAAAATTAATGCAAATGATAGGTTTATAAAAAGTTCTGGCAACTCTCAACAAGCTATGTGGAAACTTATTATTGATAACAAACATAAAAATGCTGTCACTGATACTTCTAAAGTTTTCAGCCAGTGAACTTTAGTGAAGTTGACTTAGCTATTTCAGAAATAAAAAATGGTAACAACAAAGATCCTGGTGGATTTAACACAAAAATTATTAAACGAACCTTAATAAAGCAATCAATATCTAGTAATACTTATCCTCAAGTTTTTAAAACTGCAAAGGTAGTACCTCTGTTTAAAAATAAAGGCTCTATTGATTACAACAATTATCGACCCATTTCTTTGTTGCCCATATTATCAAAAGTATATGAACGAATTTAAAAAAAATCACATTAATCTACATTTTGAACAGTTTGCCATAAACCAGTACGAATTCCGAAAAAATAAAACAACTTTAGCTGTTGATCATTTCACTAGCAATATTTTGGAAGGGTTTGAAAAATATCTTGATACTTTTGCATCGTTTTTAGATCTTACTAAGGCTTTCGGTTGTGTCACACATAGTATTCTGCTTAGGAAACTTCCTTATTATAATTTTCATAGCGATGCCATTCAACTAATTGATTCATATCTATCAAATCGTGATCAATATGTTCACTTCAACTAGTGTGATTCTCAAAAACAATCTCTGTTGTTTGGTGTCCCTCAAGGCTCGGTTTTGAGTAAAATATTATTTCATATCTATATTAATGATCTAGTGTACTCCCAAAGTCAAACATTTAACACTGTTTTATTTGCTGATGACACTACTTTCTATGTAAGCTATCACCCTTTTGAATTCGACACCGTTAATTACCAAACATTTGAAAAAATCTTCAATTGGTTTTTAACTAACCATCTCTCCTTGAACAAATCTAAATCACAAAGTGTTAATTTTACTTTAAAAAATAACACTTGTGTTGAAAACGTTGCTCTACCACAATGTGTAACTGAAGGGAAGTTTCTGGGGATATATTTGGATGCAGGATTAACCTGGGAACAACATGTAGTTAATTTATCGAAAAAGCTTTCCCGACAACTTTTGCTCTTTAGGAACCTTGTACAAGTAACTTCCAAGGAAACTATTTTAACAGCTTATCATAGTAATTTTCATTCTCATCTGACATATGCTATTCTCTCCTGGGGCCACACTTGTCATTGTTGTCATTAATAAAGTGTTTGCACAACATAGAAAGTGTGTTCGTATTATCTCTGGGCTCTGTTATAGAGCAGAATGTAGAAACTCCTTTAGAGCTTTTAAAATTTTAACTTTACCTTGTGTATACATTATGCAGTGTCTGTTGCACATTAAACAAAATCTTAGCCAATACAATGCGCATGTAGATTTTCACAATTATTCCACCAAATTTAACAATAATCTTATACTAGAATTTGGCCGACTTTAGAGATCCAGAAATGGTTCAACACGTAGTCCATTATGTAGCCTGCACAATATCCCTTTCAATAACAGCAATATTTCGATTTAGCACTAGATAAATCACTATTTGCGTCTTGTTCATATTAATCTTTAGTCCGACCTCCAAGAAAGCGTGATATAATGTTTCAAGTATTATTTTTGCATTATCCACACGTTCGGCTATAAGAAGGATGCCATTTGCAAATCTCAAAGGACTCAAAAAAAAAAACATTTATGATGATACCATGCTCGTTCAGATGTGCCTTTTTACACGTATGTTCTAAAAGCGTCGTGAACAGCTTTGGAAAGACTGTGTCTCCTTGCCGTACTCCTCGCTTTATAAAGAATTTGTTTGTGGCTTATTCAGATAGTCTTACGCCAACTGTCGCCTTTTGGCAGAAGAGTTTTTAAAGATTGGATTAACTATTTATTTTCCTTAAATCGTTACACAGTCAATCCATAATTCCCACCTCTAACCCCTCGATAAAGAACTCCACTAAATACTTTGTGTTGAAGAAAGTTGTGTGGTACAAGGGGAATTAATATCACCCGGATATGTGCTCGGAATATAAATTTTGGAGAAGAACAAGACGTTGAAGTTCTGACAGGGTGTGTTATACTGAATGTGAAGGTTTTAAACCAAGACATGTGCTATTTGATATTAATTTCGAGGATTCTGACGTGGCATTATTTTTGTTAGGAATTCGATCGCCATTCAATTATCGATGGTTAATCGGGCAGATAAAACTGCAAGGGACAGTTAAAGAAATATAAAAGGGGCGTACAAAATAACGAATTAGTGAAATAAGAAATATATTTGAAGCTCTAATTTAAGAGAAGTTCATAACTCATAACACAGCTTTTTCATTACAAGAGTAAGTAAATTATATAGAAATATTGCCGAGAATAATAAGAAAAGAGTGACAAATTTAATGGATTAATATGGATTAACATTTTTCGAGTGACCGTAGCAATTCTTACGGTCTTTTGGTAGTACAGAAAAAACTGTTCCCAATTAACTGTTTTTACATCATTTATTCAGCTTGAAGTTTTGTACAGACAATTGTTGATTATTATTATTATACAGCTATAAGTTATACAGGTCTCACTGTGTCTAAGCGTAAAATTCACTCATCCTGTATAGCTATGGTATCAAACGGATTGAGCAGGCCAGCATGTCTTCGTAAAATGTTATTACGCATCTTGATGTTGAGAGCAGTACAGTTTTCTGCATGGTCCTATAGAAATGTTCATTAGCAAAGGTTGGGACACTTGGGCCTGGGAAAATTTTTCGGACTGGTAGGCAAAATGAGGTACAAGAGCAGAGTATAAAACATTGACAAATAAGTAACATCGAGAACTAAAAGTAAAAAGTGTTGGAACATTGAATTTGTTCCATTTATTTGACTTATACACTTCTTCTTCTTCTTCTTCAGGTGCCATCTCCGCTACGGAGGTTGGCAATCATCATAGCTATCTTAATTTTTGAGGCAGTAGCTCTAAATAGTTGTTTTGAGCTGCATCCAAACCATTCTCTCAGGTTCTTCAGCCATGAAATTCGTCTTCTTCCGATGCTTCTTCTGCCATCTATTTTTCCTTGCATTATGAGTCGCAGGATGCCATACTTATCGCCCCGCATCACATGTCCGAGATACTGTAGCTTTCTTTCTTTAATTGTAAGTTCAATTTCCTTCTCTTTGCCTATTCTTCTCAGTATTTCATTGTTTGTAACTCTATCTACCCAGGAAACCCTCATAATTCTTCTATAGGTCCACATCTCAAAGGCGTTAAGTCGTCTCATGGTATCTAGATTTAACGTCCATGATTCCACTCCATAATATAGTACACTGTATACGTAACATTTTGTTAGGCGTACTTTAAGAGCTAATGTTAGATCTTTGCCACATAGGACCTTTTTCATTTTTATAAAATTAGAACGTGCTTTTTCGATTCTGACTTTGATTTCTGCCGTGTAGTCATTATTTTCTGTTATAAGTGTTCCTAGGTAAGTGTACTTTTTTACTCTTTCGATCTGCTGGCCCTCTACTATCAAGATTTCGTTAGTATTATTTGACGACCCTGATCTTCAATATCGCTATTTTTTTTCCGTCCATTTTCAGTCAGTGGCGGTCTCAGAGTCAGATTTTGGGAGGGGCGATGGTCTAGTGCAGGGGTGTCTGGGGGTGCAGCTCCCCATCCGGAAAGGGGGTCCGGAAAATTTGTAAAAATATGGCAAGATTTTGAGAGTTTTAAAGGCATTTTATTCATTTGAACAGTTGATGGACCGAATATGGACTGACTGTCACTTCGTGGTTATGACGAACGGAGAAAAAGGAAAATCACTTATTATTATTACAATTAGTATCAGTGGAAACAGTTTTACACTATAATAAAAAATAAAAAAAGCTAGCCTCTAAAGCTTGTTGTAAATATTGTTCGGCTAACTTACAAATAAAATATTCAAAATATATTTTGTATTCTTGTGATTGTATCAAAAACCAATTTAGAACTATTGAAAACAACTCAAAGTCTAATAGAAAAGGTTTGTGAGTGATAGTATTTTTTAATGGCAAGCCTCTGAAACAAGTCTCATCTTTCTAAACCTTTGATGATTTAGGTGGTTTTACGTTATCACGAACAAACGTCAAACTTCAGAGGTTTGGTCTGACAATGTTAGTTTTACGCTTGAATTGAAAGAGCTCAAAACACATTTTACCTTTTAAATGTTAAAATTTACAATAAATATACAATACAAATTAGTCTATTAGAATGGAAAAAAGGAGGTTCACATTATACATTGTAATAGTTTTATTAGGTTATAAGTAATAAAATAACAAGTTATAAGGTTTTAAAAAGAATGTGAATACAAATCGAATTCAAGTCTTCGATGGCCACTTTTGGCGAATCGTTCTAAAACTTTCGTTGGGTCTACAGGGATGTCTCGATGGGCATGGATTAGAGCAAGTCCAGTCAACCTGCCTTGACGCATCCGAGTTCTTAGCCACGACTTTATTCTCTTTAGAGATTGAAAGCTACGCTCTGCAGAAGCATTGCTGATGGGAAGTGTAGCTAAGACTAGAAGTAGCTTGCTGACTCTAGGGAACAAATCTCTGTTACAACTGTCTAACGCGTCCAGCGCTGTTTTTGGAAATTCGTCCGTTTCTTTCCATTGCATTTCCCAAAGCTGTAGTTCACCTTTCAATAAGCATTTCATTTCAGCTTGAGACATATCAAAAAGTTCACTGTACCTCCTTACTAAACACTCAATTTTTTTCAGACATGTCCTGAACAGAGTTGGTTATCAGGTATCCAGACATGCAGACGTGAAGATTGTACAACTCCAATGTTTCTTCAGGAAAACGAGACTTTGTGTCTTCTATTACAGAGTCTAGAATGGGAAGGAACACTGATACTCTAAAGTATGTCTCTGGGTCTTTGATTGCGTGGCTGGCTCGTTTCTTCTGCACTTGTGATATTCTTGTAATACTAATATCAAAATTTGTCTTCTCGGCGATGTCCTTTGCTTCTTGGAACAAATCTTTAAAGCAAACAATCGCTGTGTTCCGTTGATTGGCAAGTGCTTTGGTCATGTCCGTAAAATATTTCAATGCACATTTCAAGTCAATATCAGGTTTTTGAAGTAGCTTGCTAAAAGGCAGTGTAAGTGAAAATATGTTGCACATACACACTACAGTGATAAGGAAAGTACTGTTCAGTAAGGCACAAATCAAGGTTCTCGCCTTGGATGCAGCTTTTAAATCTTGCCATGAAGCTACTGATTCCAGGGCTTGAATGATAACCGTAGGCTATTAAAATAATCTGTCTACGGACGTTTTCACACTGTTAGATTATTTTGTCCAATAATAGCAATGCATTAGTTCGATCTCACACTTCTGATTAATATGTAACTTCTCAATTTTTCAAAAAATTAAGGTTTCTGGGGGGCGGGCGATCGCCCCATCGCCCCCCCCCTTGAGACCGCCACTGTTTTTAGTAAGATTGTTTGAAAATAAAATTATCTAATATTTAACAAACACATAACCTGTTCTCAACTGCACTGCTGTGCTACTGAGTATTGAAATGATTTGCTGTTAAGGCGTGGCTTGTAACGACTATTTTGCTTACCACAGGGTAAGAATATGGGGGACAAGATTGGGCAAACAAAATAATCGAAACAAGTGCATACGGACACTCAGTTGGTTGTTGGAGAGCTGGGTCGTGGATAAGTTGAAGATATTGGGGGTTAGATTGGGGTTGCTACAAAAAAAGAAATAAAAGGTACTTATACAAATCTCTTGGGACAAACAGAATGAAAATAAACGGAAACACCTCAAGAAATTTAATATAGGGCGCCACTTGAGGTGCCCAATTATACCTATTACAACCACTAGTTGTAACTAGGGAAATAATTGTATAACATCGAAAATATAGAAAAAAGTATCTTTTTCAAATAAAACTCAAAATAGATCAGAGAAACAAATTAAACATTTATTTTTGTCTCACCAAACAGTTTTCAAAAATACAGCTTATACAAAGGCATATTAAATAAAATTAGCTGTCAAATACAAATGAACAAAACTTACATATCTGTTTACAAAAGGTTACAAAACTCTTCGAAACGGTTCTTAGTAAATAATTTAAAAAATAATTTATAAAGAAAGCAAATTTTGTCTTTTTAAAAGAAAATGTCTATTTTTACTTTAAAAATTAATAACGTAAATGTTACCTCAGTTCACACATCTTAACTTAAACTTTTGAACAACTGGCTAACTTCTGCGGGGTATCTAACTGCACATCAACGGAAAGCTTTATTGGAAGCTGAAACTGGCACATCCAAATCAAAACTGCTCCAATATTATTCTACATGAGGTGAAAAGGGCATCTCGGGAAGGAACTGGATCTCTCAAAAAAAACGAAAAACAAACAGGAACTAAACTTGTTCACTGCTCAAACATCATAAATCTTCAGCCAAAATAAAAACAGTGGTTACTGGTCACTCTTTCAGAAACGACATATTACTTAGAGTGAAAATTCCACCATTTTGGCGAATGAATGCCGGCTTACAACATCATAATTAAACGACTTTTTTCTTCGAGAAGTTCTTCATCACTTCCTCTCAAATCTTTTACTCCATTCCCACATGTCTGCCTCGCTTGGAACTTAAATCTCGCTCCCTTATCACATGTCTGCCCCGCTTGGAATCTAAATTTCGACTCCTTTCAAATCAAATCTTGGTCTCAATTGTCCATGTCTGCCCCGTTTGGAACTCAAATCTCCACTTCTATTGTCACATGTCTGCCCTGTTTGGAACTTAAAAATCGACTGTTTATCACATGTCTGCCCCGCTTGGAATCTAAATGTCGACTCCTTTTCGTTACATTTTACAAGAAACTCCTAAAAATTTCCCTTCCGTCTTGCAGCTAACCTGTCCCCCACAAACTCAAGAACCAAAACAATATCTTCCCTCCTCTTATCGACAAAAAAAACCTTTTAAATATTCCTTTATTGCGTTTTTAGACGCCAGTATTGGTATCCTAAATAAACAAATATTCTTTTTGACTCTCATTCTAATAACGAAAAACAACTTTTTGTCAACTGGAATATTAGGGGAATTCATGTAACATAACACCTCTTTGGCGACAAAAAACTGTTTGTTTTACCTAACATTGCAACACAGAGATAAAAACATATTTCCAACGTTAATACGCATTTAAAAATCTCGTCAAAAAAAACTTGAAATATTTACAACGTACCTACATTTAACTTTATTGATCGATTTCTTGGTAGAAACAACAGGACGTACCATAGAAATATTTTATATACACAATAAATAAAAAAAACGCTACAATGCCCCTTCTTAAAAGAAAAAACTCGGATAATTCTTATCCAGTTTTTGATAAAGGAAAAACAACAAAAACCAAATCAGAAGATGACCTCTTAACTGAGTCGAAACTTCTTAATAATATCTTTTAGATGATGGCTAGCATGGGATTAAACAACAAAAACAAAGTTAGTTACAAAGAATGGGCTAGCGTGCCATCGATCGCCAGACTCTTTAAAGTCGAGTAGACTGAAATGTTAACAATATTCCAAAGGGATGAAATCAAATCAACATACAAACTCGAAAATACAGACATGGGATAGGATGAACTAATTACTTAAAGATGACATATTGTCCTCATCTGACACAAAAGGCTTTAAATCTTTAATGTGCCACTTACCAAGATCATAACCATTTAAATCTGACAAACGATAAACCACTGGTGACAATTTTTCCTTGATAGTTGCTTCAATATACTTTGGTGCTAGTTTGGACATAAACTTGTTGACAGCACAAGACAAAACCTTATTTCTTTTCCAAACTCTATCACCCACTTGAAATTGGACTTCTCTTCTACGTAAGTTGTAACTTCTAGCGTTACGTTCATATCCTTTTCGAAGATTAGCCTTAACCTTTTCAAAAACTTTATCTATACCTTTGACTTCTGAAGCATACATGTTACGGTCACCTGGAATTATCGCGATATCTTGATTCTGTTGATCCTTATGATCAACACCATAATAGTTTCCACTTAAAGGAACATGACGGCCATAATTCAGGAAAGCTGGAGTATATCCAGTCACTTCATGCTTTGCAGTGTTAATAGCTTGTCTGATCTTTGCTAAATTCTTGTCCCAATCTACGTGGTCTTTAACATACGTACGTATTGCTGTACCAATGGTTCTATTGTTCCTCTCCACAAAATTACACTGAGGTGCATATACTGGGCTAAACCATACTTTCTGAACGTTATACCTATTACAGAGCTCAATTAAGAGAGGATTGTTCAGATTTGAGGCATTATCACAAATCACATATTGAGGAACACCAAACATTAGGAAAACATCATTTTCCAAAAACTCAACAATATTCTTAGCCGTGGCCTTTCTCAAAGGTTGGACTAAAGTATATTTACTAAACCAATCAGCAACTACTAATAACCACGTATAACCTTTCTTTGAACGAACAAAGGGACCTATCAGATCTATTGCAACTATTTGCCAAGGAAACTTGGCCTCTCTCTGCTTACCCATTTTACCTAATGGAGCATAATTTGGTGTCTTCTGAGCACCACAAACTTTACATGACCTGACAAACTTAAGCACATCAACACGCATCTGGGGCCAATAATATCTTTCCTGAATACGGGACAAAGTTTTGGAAAATCCAAAGTGAGCACACGTAGGTGGCTCATGACAAGACTTCATAACTTCAGACCTTTGTGGTTTGGGCACAAGAATTTTCCACTCATCATTAGTCTTAAAAGAATTTTTGGTAGGGGCAAACTTATAAACAAAATCATTCTCCACCTTCCACTGTGGAAAATCAAGGGGGATCGGATTATCTTTGATCTCAAATTATCGAACCAAGGGTCTATTCTATCTACATCAATTTCTAAACAATTAACATGGGAACGGCTATCAAAATCTTTCTTTTCAAAAATTGGGTTCACTGATGACCTGTAAGGTCTATTGGACTTAGACCTATTCGAAATACTACACTTAGGACAAGAAGATATGATCACACCTTTATGACCACAACGCCAACAAGATACTGACTTACTTCTACAGTCACGGGAAATATGACCTGGTTTATTACAATTAAAACAAATAATCTTTTTCGGATTTCTAGGGGCTTGATAAGAGACTGACTGCATTAATGGAGGTTGGGACGAAAAAGATTGCATCATTGGGGGTGGGGACGAAAAAGACTGATTTCTTATTTCAGTATTCTCTGGAGGACTGGGTCTATTATTCTCATACTTATATTTGGGATTGGGTCTCTTAGAAGAATTTTCTCTGTCCTGTCTGTTACCTACTCCACTTCTATCTTGCTTGGTTTGATTATCCACCACATGAACTTGTTCTTTGGGCTTTTCTGAATCATCAATCGAAATACCTGCAAGACCTTTAGTAGTCTGCAACAAGGGCAGGACATTCTGCTCTAAACGTTTTATAGTTGCTACTAACATTTCTACTGTAGCAAAATCTTGAAGGGCTATCAGTGGAATGTAATCCACTAAAATATTTTTCCTCATTATTTTTACTTTTTGGGCTTCACTAGGATAAGTTTCCAAACGTTTAAAAAGGTTTTCCATCACTGCTGAATAAATGGTTATGGATTCATTCCTTTTTTGCTTTCTACTTTTAATTTCTTCGAAGAGATTATCATTATAATCTGGGTGTAAAAAAGCAGATTTGAGTAGGGCTACCAACTCATCCCAACTATTAATTTTATCTCTAACACTCCTATACCAAATAGCAGCATTACCTTCAAATAACTCAATAGCTGAGCGAAACAGGATGTCTTCGGAAATATTCCGAGACCTAGCAGAATCTTTAACTTTCTCTAAAAATGTGAGAAGAGCTTTACTCTCACCATTAAACTTGATATGTAAATCAGAAATAATGACAGGAGTTGAAACCTGTATTATTGGGGCTGGGACTGTACAACTGGGAACTACAGGGACTGAAACTGGGCTACTAGTGGATGGTTTTACTAAATCATCAGACATTTCTAGTTTTTCTAACACATCACCCTGTAACAACAACAAATCATCTTTACACTCATTGACAAACTTTTTAACATCTTCCTCAACATCATTCATAGGGAAATTTTCTAATCTGGTATCTAAATGTGTAG